CACAAAAAATATAAATAGAAAAAGAAGATAATATTAAAGAACTATCCTGGAAACTAGAACAGAAAGCAGAGAACTAGATGAAGGCGAGGAGGCGAATACAGAGAGGAAATTATCAAAGAAACAATACAAGAAAATTTCCCCGAAGTGAAGAAGGATATTGAAAGGATCCACTGAGTACCCAGCATATTGCATTACAGTAGAAAGTACCCAAATAAAAACACATAACCATGAATTCCAGATATTTTGAGAGAGAAAAGTTAAGTATCAGAATCACTTCTAATAGCAACACCAAAGTGATTCTGTCAGAATTCTAAGGAAAAGTATTTTGAACAAAGAATGTGGTCACAGTGACAACTGAATATAAGGATAGACGCAAGTTTCCAGATGTGCGGGACCTTGAAAATTTGCTCTTACAACCCTCTCCTGTAACAATGCCTGTGAATGTGAGGAGATAAAACAGGAAAGGAGATGATGCAGACTTGAGGATCCCATCATAGCAGCATGTGGGTCAATTTTACATAATGCGGACTGCTTTTCTTGGGAAGTTCGGTACAGATCCTATGACATGTTGGGGCTTTGTCACACTGCGTAGCCTAAGACCTGCCATGGAGACAGCAGAGGAGCATGAGTGACAGGGGGTGTCAGGTCCAGAGTGCAAACACCCAGAGGCTCAGGGGCAGGAGGATGTCGCTCAGGAAAAAGGGAATTGATCTTTACCTGACGAAGTTGCAGCTTTCATTAACTCTGTTACACATTTGAGCCTAAGTAAGTGCCTAGAAAATGAAGGAAAATACGATGCAAGAGCAGTAATGCAAGTGAAAGATCTAGTAGGCTTCATAAGTCAGCTTTGAAAGTGATTCCTTTGTTGTTATTGAGTCCATCCTAGAGAATCTGCCAAAAAAGAAAATAGAGCCAGATTGGCAGGATAGGGGGAAGAAGGGAGCCGTGAAGAGACAAAAGTGTGAAGGAAGAGAGACTCACTCCTCATCTGCCATAGCAGGAAGCTAGGAGGTAAATGTTTAAAATCACATTATCAGGAAAGACTGTATTTATAACCATGTTACTTAAACATCGAAAATTAAGTGCCAGAATAGCTAAAGAAGTTGAAAAGGGGTGTTTGTGGGGAGCAGAATCTGTGCGTGGGGTTAAGGACTGTTTTATAAGCTTTGTGGTACTTTCATATGCACATATGTTTGGTAAAAATAAAATTTTATAACAGAAAAGAAAAGGACTTTTATAATTTCAGCCAGTTTTTATTTTTAATAATAAGCTTGTTAAATATGTCTGGGTGGCAACATACCGATAGACTAACTGTCGAAGGCTGAATGCCTTACCTGTGACTCAGTTTTATTTTCTTCTTTTGTGTTTATATTTTCTAATTTTTCTATAGTAAGTTTTATGACCCAAGTAACAAACATTTTAAGCCATATTTTAACAAGTGTTCATGTTATATCTACAGAATGCTTTTTTTTTTTTCCTCAACACATGGCAAGTTTGTCTTACGATGTGTATTTTTAAAATTAAGGCTTAAAGTATTAAAATATTTCCAAAGTTGACTATTTTTGGACTCAGTAAAATGAACTTTTTCATGAGAACCCCTGGTAGTGTAGCTATATTAAGCCATTATTAATTTGTTTTGCTGAAGGATTAAGAAAATAAAGATTTAACAATTTCCTAAGTTAACTCTTTGTGGTAAGAACATTTGTCTTAGTATTTTGACAAGCAGCTCCGTTTTGTGACACAGTTCTCTTTTCTGTAATGTGGATCGCATTTTCCTGGAGGACATAGTAGAATCCCATGCAGTAGGGACTGGCAGTGTTATGTAGGCCGTAGACTCAGATACTAAAGTTAGCCAATGTAGAGGCCTCTGAAACAAGCCAAGGAATGCAAGCTCTGTGAGACCTAGTGAACATGTGGCTGGCCTGCACACTGGCATGCTGGTGTTCAGGCCTGTGTTCTCCAGGTCAGCTCTTTCTGTGGCTCCTGTGCATCATTTAATTTGCCAGTGATGAGCAGACCCCATTACATGCAAACATGCACTAGTCATTCCTAAATGCCCTTAGTTACTTCAGATCCGAGTGGGTACTCTTTAAAAGATTTTTTTGAAATTATAAAGGGTATTACAAATTACTAAGTGCAGAATGGCACAAAAATGACCATCTCTTTCCTGGTCAATCTCACCCCTAGAGATGGATGTTAGTAATTTCTTGTCTGTCCTTCCAGACTTCATTCGCTTACACTCACCCTGTGCTTTTCCTCGTCACGAGTACCATGTCTTGGGGACCAGAAAGCAAGTCCTGAGAAGCAGAGCTCCAGCTCATGCCATGTTTTATTTTTAATGTTTTGCAGTTAACTTTGATTTTTTTTTTACTTTGAGTATTTCCTCATTTTTCTTTCTTTTTTTTTTTTTTAAAGATTTATTTGTGCATATAGAACTGGGGTACAGGCCAGAGACTCAGGAGTGGCGAAAGACTTCACCAGAGACAGAGTGGGGAGCAGAACAGGCAGATCAACAAAGTACACTGCTGAGGGGAGCAGCGGGCGGGTCAGGAGAGGTCTGCCACACCATGTGGTCACCTCCAGGGCAGGCAGGAATCGAACTCATGCGGAAGTGGTTTCAGCTTCTTAGTGCAGTGCTTTAACCCACTGCACCACCAGGGAGGGCCATTTTTCTCTTTTTTAATGCCTAACTATTTTGTTTTTAAAAGTACAAGTGTTTATATGTCAAGAACAAATTAGTGCATGTCCACTCCTCTTCCCTAAGTTATATGATTTTATCTTTCAGCATTGGGGGCCTTATTCTGGACACAACTGTATCTGATCCAAACTTGGTTGGGATTGTTGTTTACACACCAGTCATTAACGGTAAGAATCAAGTGTGCTGTTTCTTTATAATACCAAATCTTTATATATGCCTAGGTCTTACTAGGAATTTTAGGGTTCAGATTTTAAGAGGACCACATTCCTACCTTTCTATTTTCCCTCCAACCCTATTTTGTTGCCCATGGTGGAAGTTACACTCCCTGTTCTCATTATACAGGACACGTTTTTGAAAAGGACTCTCTCGTGATCTTACCACTAGATGTTCATTTAAAAGCAAGTTCATACCTGACTCTTAAGGTCAGTGTGGTATTTCAGGTCTGCATACTTAGGTCCTAGCTGCTATTTATGTGGTTTTGTTGCTCGCTTGTCAAATCGCGTAGTGGAAGTTGAGGTAGATAAGATTCAGGAGCGTTTGAGTCAGTTTAGTCTGATCAGATCTGTCACCTCTCTGCTGAACCCTTTCAAAGCTGCCTCATATTTTTTCTTATCTATAAAATAGTAGTTATACCACTCAAGTTCATGGGGATTTTTGTGTGAATTCAATTTAATAGATCATTTTAATCTACTGGCTTTGGGTTGATGGTCCTTAAATTATATGGTTTAGTATAGTATAAGCCAATAAATTTAAAAGTAATTCTGCTTGGGAGAAAACATGTCACGGGCATACTATAAATATAGTTTTGTATATTTATGTCTAAGGAAGTATGTTACACAAGAGCAAGTTCTCCAAAATTTAATTTTATGTCTAAAATTCTAGTGAACATTTTCATTTTTATGTAGCTTTAGAATGTACCTGAATAAATTTCCCCCATGACCCATTTCTCAGTTTTCTTGGTGCCACCATTTTCCTGTTCACCCTTAAAATCCTGGATCCACTTGATTCAGCCTGGTCCTTTGTCTTTTCATAAGCAGTGACCAACCCTTGTCACTCTGTCCTTTAACAGAATTCACTGTTCATTTATTTATTTAACAAGCATGTCTCAACATTGTCGTCTGCTAATACCTCTCTCCAGCCTTCAGTCAAGTGATAGTAGAGTAGCCTGCTGGACTCACTCCCTGCTCAACACAAATTAAGTTTTTTCTTTAAATATTGTTTTTATTGCGTATGGCTTAAGATGACAACTTAATGGTGGTGTCCTCCTATCTGTCAAATCAAGTTTGAGTCCTGCTAGTGGCTTTTATGCTCACCTCCACTATTGGGTGGATCGGCCTTGATCACTCTAACTAGGTTTCATCATAACTGTTAGAGCTGTGTTGTCCAGCCTGCTGGTGAGAGATTCAGCTGAAATCATGACGAACCCATAAAGAGGAAGGCTTTTGTGAGATTTTCTGTTGTCTCTCCTTGCACAGCAAACAGTGCTGGAGCTTCAGAAAGTGTTCGCATTGAACATCACTGTAGTTACACACTCTACATTACATTCCCAGGATTTCTTTAGAGTTAGAAATTGTATTCAACGTATAGTTTCAATTCCTATTCCTAATCTTTTCTGTTCATTTTTAGATCCATACTTTAAACTGGATTTACCCATTTGGAAAGACCCAAAATTCAAAATCTGAGTTCATTATTTTCCCCTACCCCCAAACCTGCTTTTCCTGTTTGTCTGTCAGTCAGTGGTATTTTATATATCTAGTATAACAAACAGTACACCCCAAAGCCATCACATATTCTCTTTCTCTTAAAGTCTCTACTCTTATCTGCACTTAAAATACTGTTTGAATTAATCTCAACTCTTTGTCTGTATTGTTCCTGCTTTTGTTCAGTATCTTACCTGGGTTCATCTGTATAAGTTACTTCCTGGCCTCTTTTCTTAACCAACTGGACCACTATTTTCCATATTGTTGTTAGAATCACTTTCTAAAGACCAAAGTGGATCTTGTCCACCTTGCTTGCTTAGAGATCACAGCTGAGTTATCTGGGTGATGAAGTACAAATTATTTAGCGTAACCTACCAGTCCCAGCCTGCCCTAAAATCTGCCTCTTCAGTTTCATTTCCCCACAGTCTACCAACTCTTCAACCTTTTATCTTATGGAATTGTCCATGCTTTTTCAAATAGATCAAGTTGCTTCTCTATACAGAACTTTATACCTACTCTTCCCTCTCACTCCCTTTACTTACCAAGTACTGCTCATTAACTAAGGCCCAGTAAGAATGTTACCTCTTCTGCGAAGTAGATATTCAGGCAAGTGAGTTGCTATCTTTTCTCTGACTCTAATGCATGCTTTTATATATAAAGCACTTTTATAATGGCACATACTTATTTTGCATGATAATTTCACTTTTGAAATGAGTAGTGTCTATAGCCTGTTATGATTTGGTAATTGCTGTGTGAATAAATGCATGAGTTAAGGCACATACTTAGTTTTGCTGCTGAATATGTCATTTAATTTGAGGAAATTATCTTGTTTAAGAATTGATCTAAGAATGCAACTTAGATCATAACCAAACCTTTCCTGGAGTTTTCGCAGGTACTTGAGATGTGTACTAAAATAGGCCAAAATAGAAAAAATGGGTCTTCCTGTTTGTATAAACAGATGAGAGGTTGGGTGAAGTAAAAGGGGTGAATATAGGGTGATGGGCGGAAACCACACTTTTGATGGTGATTGTGATGTAAAGTATACAGGTGTGGAATTATAAAGCTGTACACCTGAAACTTATAAAATGCTGTAAACCAATGTTTCCTCAATAAAAACTTATTAATAAAAAAATTAGCAATGATGGCAACATTTATTACTTCCCTTAACTTCTGCTGTGTGTAACTATAAAGAAATTGATTTGTCAACATTTTCTTCTCTTTGGTGTGTTCTAAGATCTCTTTAGATAAGAGTGAGTGTTGAGATAGGGACACTTGAGATATTAAAGGAGGTTAGCCCAAAAAAAGTAATAAAATAAAAGAGGTTAGAGATCCAACGAGTGAATAGTCTGTGGACAAAAGAAAGAAAGGAATTAGAGAGCAACAGTGTGACGGAGGAGCCGAGCTGTGTAGCTAAGAAGTGATTCAAAGGAGACCTCCTGGTTATTAACTCAGAAGTCACTTGGAAGCTCAAGGTTTTTGTTTAATAGAAGTAATGACTAAATAAGTAAAAGGTATAGTCTTAGAATATTGTTGGCAGTAAAAGTGAATGAATTATATCTCACATAGCAACAAGGATGAATCTCAAGTACTTATATAATAGAGAATTCCATTTATATAAAGCACTAAGGCATCATTGGGTATCCACTTATATGCGTGTTAATAGCAGAGAGAAAAGCAAGGCTGTGAAGAACACACTTAAGGACAGTTACTCTGGGCAGGGAAGGGTATGGGGCAGGACAATATGTGTGTTTTATAAAAATAAAATTTTATCTACTAAATATTCAGTGCAAAACAACAAAAATAATGGAAATAACACACTTTTCTCAAATGGTTGACAATGGAAAGGTAGTTACCTTAAGAAGATCATCTGAGGAACTCTTTCCAAGATAGGAACAATGTAGATCTCTTTATCGATGAGACCAAGGCATGCTAGGGAGATTGAGGTTGTGAGAGATGGTGGGTTGTGAGAGAGCAAAGTTCATGAGATGCTAGCCCTCAAAGTGGCATTGGACAGAAGGCGTACCTTACTGGATGCCGCAGGAAGAGAATCCTGGACAGACAAAGCTGGAATTACCAATATTTGCAGTAGAGGGGAAAGATTAAGATAAAGGACCTTATTTACACAAGGACAACCTCAGTCATCCCAAGAAGTGGAAGATTCATTTCTCTAGGAAAATGTTTCCCAGCCTTTATCATGCATGGTGCATGGAGAAAATGGTAATATTCAGAGGGCACCCTGGGGCCAAGGAGGTCACACGTAACTAGAGGCCAGCAGGCTGACCACGCAGCCACTTTGCCTATCTGCCTGCGGGGCTTACGCGATGGGAACCCACACAGCTCACACCTCTAACCCCCTGTGACTAACTGGTTGGGAAGTACTGATCTAAGACAATTTCCTTTTCACTGTCATCACCTAGGGAGCATTTTCAACTTTTTAATCCCTAAATGCGCACTCCCTTGAAATCTTAATATCACATAGATTCTCTGTATCTGTTATGTGCTGTGTGTATGCTGTGCTGTTACAAGATTTCCCCCCTCACTACAAGACTGATTTTTGTCCCCATTAAGAATGTATGATCTAGGATAAAACAAGTAGAAAAATTGGAGATGGTCATTCATAGATTGTTTACAAGCGCATTGGAAGGAAGCAGTGAAGGGTGGTGGTGGGCTTGGGACTCAGAAGATGAATGTGCCCTTATTTAGATGAAGGGTCTTGCTATGCTGTGGTCACTTGCATTTCTTCCCAAAAAATAAGGGAAAAAAATGGAAACTACATTTCCTGTCTGTCTGCATTTCTTGAAACTGAAAGAGTAATTTCTATATGTGGAATTTATTAAGGAGTTAGAAAGGAGCATAGGTGTGTGGAGGTGATTTTAACATGGAAAAATACTAGATCTGTTGTACAGTCAATAAAAGAAAGCTCTTTCCAAGGTAATAATACTGCTTTAATTTAAAAACATAACCAGCAATCTGGGGAGCCCATGGGAAGTTAACACTTTAATTAACTCTTTCATATTAGGTTGTTTATGTTAAGATTTTAGTTATCCATAAAAAGATGCCAGTCTCTTTTGAACGTGTCAATAATTCATTTTATTTTTAGCTTAATGCAGTTGTAGACATCAGTTGTGTCTGTGTTTCCTGGACGATGGGGTGAGTCAGGCCGAGGAGTATAGGGAAGAAGAAAGCCTAAGTTCACCATTTCTGAGGGTTTCTGTGGATCGATTATCACATATACCAGTCTGGACGTAGTAAACAGAAAATGATGAAAGTCCTTCTGCAGAGCTACCCAAGTGCTTCTGTAGAGGAAATGCTAATCATTGTTGAAACATTTTTTGTTTCAAACTCAAGGCAAGTTGCAAGTAGCAGACACGTTCTCAGGGCAATACATTATGCTTTCTGCACTTGTAAGGATTCCATATCTAATAAAATACCAAATAAAACATTATCCCCAAGAGAATTTCCAGCATAAATGGTGATGAACCTACCAGTCATGCCTTCCTGTGGCAAATCTGGCATTGAAGAATGGTTCTGAATGCAGTCTTCCCCTTTGCATTTATTGTAAGTATCTCACTCTCTTTTTTGAGGGTTTTGAGGAGCTATGAAGAGAAATTCTTGGGTGATGACAGGCTATTTTTGTTGGCTTATCCAGAAATTCTTTGTGAAAGTGCTTGTATTGTAGAGTATTAATATGTCCTTCCCATGCCCAGAGCGAAGGAAACAAACATGTTTTTATTTTTGTATGGGTGTAGTATTTTTTTTTATTTTATAATAGTTTATTTTTACATATTTTTGTGCATTTTTCCATCTCAGTTGTAATACCCTTGGGTTTCCCATCACCAGATCACCCGTGTGCCATCACCATAGTCCAGTGCACTTCCCTCCCCTCACTGTTTTGATCTCACTCCCCACTCCAGCCCTGTAAAATGTCTCTGGTATATAGTTGTTCATTATCATTATTTTCTCTCCTGTTCCGTTATACTCCTGCTATGAGAGAAACCATCTAGTATTTTTCCTTTTCTTTCTCGCTTATTTCACTAAGCATGATCTTTTCCAGCTCCATCCATGTTGCTGCAGAAGGCATGTGTTTTGTTTTTTTGTTTTGTTTTGTTTTGGTTGCTGAGTAATATTCCATTGTGTATATGTACCAGGATGTAGTAATTTTTTTTTTAAATCTCTACATGTAACCTCTTTGCATTTCTAGGCTATGTTAACTTACCTCCACTTAGAGATAGTTCCTAGCTTCGTTAATGTGCTAATACCAGATGTGTATCAAATACCTGCCAATTACTCAGTGTTCTGCATGCCTTTTTACTTTAGAAAGTGAGCTCAGATTTCATTACATATCAGGTTGTATATAAGTCACGTACACATTCCCACTTTCAAAAATAGTCATCACTACCCTCTTGTGGAAAATCAATTGAGTAAACAGAAGACAATTTAAATGATTATTTTAAATATGGGCATCAAGTGACTTACTCTCTTTTTTGAAAATGAGAAATGTGAATTAATTGAAAAGCAGCATAGATCCTGTACCTTCTTTGAGCTAGTGCATTCTCCAGCAAGTTGAGTGTCAGAAAATACCCTATCAAGATCACATTATGTATACACATTATTTAAAAGTCACCATGTGTACACCAATGTGCCAGCAACCTGTCCAGCAACTGCTGTTATCTTTCATGCTTGCATTGCTTTATTTAATGTTATCTCTGATGAGGTAGATATTAAGTTAGCCTCAATTTCAGGTTAGAGGACTGTGTATGAGAATACTGAATGTCACTCAGGTCCGCTTGCAAACCCATGTGGTCTGAGCCAGAATCAGCTCCACAGAGAACAGAGCTCTGATTCAGGAGGCTTCATTATTCCTCCTGATCAGCGTGACTTTGTTTCCCTTTTAAACACATTTTACGAGTAATTTGTTTTCTTCTAGGAAATTATTAGAACTCCTTGGAATGCACATTTTAAAACCCTTTTAATGACAAACTCTACTTGAAGTTATCTTCAGCACTTTTAATGCATTTTTTTCCTTGCTAAATGAGAAGGGCATGGAAATTTGATGCTACATTTAGTTTAAGATAGCGTAATTCATTTAAAAAATAAAACACTCAAATCGCTTTATTTTTAGTGTGTTGGTATAAGAAATCAGTGTCTTAGCTTAAAGGAGGGAGACTTCATGCTTTCCTTCTTTTTGTTCCACGACTAAAAAAAAATGTTAAATTTTTATTTTTACAATAAGGACTTGTCACTATTCGAATGTACTGAACTCCAAAATTTCATTACACATCAGGTTGTATATAAGTCACGTACACTGGCATTGAACAGAATCGCTCAGCCTGTATTTCTGAACATATTATATATAACTTCAGAAACTGTTCAGGCTTAAGCTCGCTGAATAGGGTTTCTCCATAGTATGGACCTTACTGCTGGGCACAAAGCGTGACCTCATAAGTGATCCAGAAAAGGACTCATCCTCTAGCGACCTTATATATGAAGGACCAAAAGAGCCAGGCATCTGTTACTTTGCATTCAGACAGCTCAGGTCAACAATTGGTGATCATCCCAGTCGAGGTCTCTTGCGTTCTCTTTCTCTGTGGCGACGTCAAAGCTTTTGACTTGGTACCTAGCTCAGGCATCCTGTTGAAATTATTCTCTAAGGCTTCTTGTTTAAAAATCTCCCTCTCCAGTCAAGTGTGAATCAAATGTAGTCCTGCATGGATTCTATAAGATTTCCTGTTCTTACGATATCATGTTTCTTCCAGACTTACAGTATTTTGCTTTATGTGTCTGGGAGATGTTTCAGTGGGTCTCCATTTAGGATTGTTACAACGTTTCATTGACTTCTTCCTTTATTCAGTATGCTTAAGTCTAGTAATATTCTTGGTTATAGTCCTTTTTCCTGATGTTAATCTTGCCACTCCCACTTTCTTTCATGCACGCTTACATGGTACGGCTTTTCCCATACTGTCAAGCTATTCATATCCACGTCTTTTTTTTTCTTTTTAAAGATTTACTTATTTGTTCATACAGAACTGGGGTACAGGCCAGAGATGTGGAGGGTGAGAGGATTCACCAGAGAGAGCAGAACAGGCAGATCGACGAAGTACACTGCTGAGGGGAGCAGCGGGCGGGCCACGAGAGGTCTGCCACACCATGTGGTCACCTCCGGGGCAGGCGGGGATCGAACTCATGCGGAAGCGGCTTTAGCTTCTTAGTGTTGTGCTTTAACCCGCTGCGCCACCAGGGAGGGCCCATATCCACATCTTTTAATGCATGTCTATCTTTTGCACGCTGTCCTTTAGCATATTGAGAGTAATCATAGCTACTTTGAAGTCTTTGTGGGAGAGTTTTGTCTGTCACTTTGTCAGTTACAACACCTGCATCATCTCCAGCCCCCAACTTCCTCCTTTTGACTGTGTATTTTTATTGAATGCTGGGCATTATATATACAGGAACATGGAACTGGGGTAAATATTACTCGTGCCTGAAACTACCATTTTCTTGTGTGAGTCTTGAGTATGGAAGGCTGAATCTAGTCAGTGGATGAGCTGGTTGCTTTCTCTGTGTGTGGATATTAGAGTGCTGTCTGGTACAGAGGGTCTTTATTGTGGGGCCTGCTACTTAGTGTGAGATCTGGAACGCTGGTCCCTGCAGCGTGGAAGGCTTGCATGCCTCTGCAGCTTTTCCATGGCGGCGGCTGCTGTTTGCCTTTTACTTGGCGCAAGGCAAGGGTAGGGTGTGGGATTCTCTTGCTCTGCCTTCAATTTTAGGCAACCCCTTTGTGCTCTTAGAGGTCGGGAATCAATAGTTGTTCTCCTTTCTCTGTTGACAGTCGAACTGAACTTGATTTGTCAGCAACTGGTAGATTTCATCTACTGCGTCAGCAGCAGACAACCTTTGCTTCTGTTCCTCCTCCAGGGACAACTGACCTCGGCCTGGGCCTGCTTTTCCTAACCCAGGTTTTCCTCTCCTGCCCTAAGTCACTTTTGCTACCTGTGAGGGGTGTGTTCAGAGGCAGGTGGATTTCTTGCCTATGTGCTGCCAGGCTTTTCAAGTCTTCTGCTGGACCTCCCACTGTTTCACAGGCACCCAACAGAGACTTGTGGAAATAGTCCACAAGTGTGTGGAGACACCCCTTTGGTTCAGGGCTCCAGGTGCTCTAAGAAGTTACACCTTTAAAAATTTCAGTTTTTCAGCTGTTTTCTTTTGATTTGCTCTTAAAGCTACTACCCCTCCCTTCTGAACTCCGTAAAAGGAAGAGTCATTTGTTGCCTCATCTCACATGGAGGGACTTTCCACCTCTGGAAAGCATTTCACTTCAGCTTATATTCTTCAAGAGTATATGGGGGGGAGGGGG